GCAGCTACCACTCAGAATTTTAAAAATTGCTATGATTTTGAAACACGTGAAAAATTCATGTCTTAAAAAAGGCCCCCCCCCAAAAAAAACCACAAACAACCTTTATGTATGGAATGATCTCATTTATATGATATGTCTAAATAGATACATCCACACTGACATAAAATAACTTCATTTTTTCTTGAGTGGAGTGGAACAAAGATGAGAAGTGACTGATAATTAGTACAAGATTTATTTCGAGGATAATGAAAATGTTCTGAAATTAGACTAGGTTCATGGCTGCATAATTCTGTAAATATACTAAAAATCATTGACTTATACACTTTAAATGGGTGAACATGATGATACACAAATTATACCTCAATAAAGCTGTTTTTTTAAAAAAACATAAAAAATGGAAAATAAAATCAGAGTCAGCTGATGTCTTGCACTGGGAAAGTCTGCAGCCAGGGACCTCTCCAAATTATTGAGGAGCAGTGATGTCAGTTTGAGGACTATGGTGCTCCTTATTCAAGTCATGGCCTTTTCAGTCATTTGCTGTGGTGCTGAGAGCTGGACAGTGAATAAGGATGACATGAAAAATTGATGCCTTTGAACTGTGGTGTTGGAGAAGAGTACAGAATTCCCCATGGACTGACAAAAGGACAAATGGATATTTCTTGGAGATGGTGTAGTCAGAGTGCTCCTTCGAGACAAAGATCACAGAGCTTTGTTTTACATACTTTCAGCATGTTGCTAGGTGAGGCTGTTCCTTTGAGGGGGACATCATTCTTGGGAAGGTGGATGGTTGGTGAAGGAGAGGGAGACTCTCAACTGGGTGGATTGACACAGTGACTGCCGTAGTGGGCGTGAGGGTGTCAGAGATTGTGAAGATGGCACAGAATAGAGCAGAGTTCAGATCTGCTGTTCATGGGTTCCTAAGACGTACTTGACTCAATGGCTCCTAACAGCAGCAACAATATATAAATCAGGAATAGTCTATTGTCCTAGGAGAATGTGCCTCAGTGGAGGGAGGGAGTCAGTACAGTTGGTTAATATATCCATATATTTTGTTTATTTACATACAACTAGTTTGCCAGTTGCATTTGAGTAGACACTGACTTAAAACAATGCTAGGAGTGTTGAAGAACTGATCTCCCTAGGGATTTCAATGGCTGGTTAATTTGGAAGTTAATTATCAGCCTTTTCTTTCTAAGTACCTCGGACAATCCCAAACCCTAACCCTTTCAGTAAACCGATGGACACATTAACTGCTTGGTTAACAGACTCCTAGTTAAAAAAATTCCTGAATGATACATCTATGTGCAGGGTGGGAGAGTTTTTTCTTGGCTCCACCATCAACACCAGTGGAAGAATTCAAGAAATCAGATGACATATGGCATGAGTAAATGTTCTGTCAGTGACCTCTTTACAGTGCTGAAGAGCAGAGATGTCATATTAAAGACTCTTTTTAAAAAAAAATTTAATTTTTTTTTATTTCAATGAACATCTACAGAGATTTTGGAATTCCGTTCATTCATTGTTGCACTTTTTCCCCCGCCCTCCAAGTTAACACTGAAACTCAGGTGTGTTTCAGTCAGTGAAAGAGAAGACCATCCACAGATGGATCAACAGGGTAACTGTAACAATAGGCTCGAGTGTATCAGAGATGATGAGGATGCCACAGGATAGGACAGGGTTCAGATCTGTTGTTGATAGGGTTACTGTGAGTCCTGTCTTAGTCAACTGTATGCATGTGAAAGTCAACAAGAAAGGAAGACAATAGGAAGACTGATGTCGTTGAACTGTAGTGCTGATAAATATTCATAGACTGCCAGAAGAACAAAGAGATCCGTCTTGGAGGAAGTGTGTTCAAAATGTTCCTTAGAAAGTAGGATGAAGAAAAAAAAAGAACAAAAGTAGGATGAAGAGACTTTGCCTCATATATTTTGGATGTATTATCAGGAGGAATCAGTCCTTGGAGGAGGTCGTCATGCATGAAAAAAGCAGAAAGTTCACCAAAAAAGGAGGACCGTCAATGGGATGGATTGATACAATGAGTACAGTAATGGACTTACACAGAGCAGCAATTGTGAAGATGGAGCAAGGTGGGGCAGGATTTTGTATCATGTGCACGTAGAGTAGCTATGAGTTGGAACTGATGTGATAGCATCTTGTAACACATAAATTCATATATTGCTACCTGGTTATAGCAGAAAGCACAAGAGGGTCTATACCAGATAAATAGCAAGGTATATACATCCCCCCACAACTACATAGCAACATTTCTTCTCCTTACTATTTTGAAAAGTGTAGTAGGCTTTGCATTATATGTATAAGTTTTTTACATACTTGCATTAGAAAAATACTGTATCTGTACTTGTACATGTCCATACAAATGAATAGGAAGTCCCTAACAGGTTCATTGTGGAGCATGTGAAAACAGGCTGCTCCTTGGAGGCAAAGATTCTGAAGTTTTGTCTGACCTACTTTGGACATGTTGCAAGGAGGGATCAGTCCTTAGAGAGGGATTTCATGTTGGGAGGGTGGAGGGACAGCATAGGAGAGGAAGACCTTTGATGAGATGGATTGACTCCATGACTGGGGTAATGTGGATATATGTGTCAGAGACAATGATGTTGGCTCAAGATAGAGCAGGGTTCAGAGACCTAGAGTCACTGAGTCAGAGTCAATGCGACAACACATAACAACAACAATAATGTGTCAGAACTGATATGATGGCAGTGGGGTTGGTTTTCTGTTGAGTGTGTGATAACATGATGAAATACTCAAAATATTGTGAGAATTGGTAAAATGTGACACAGGACATGAAGTAAAGACAGATTGTAGGAAAAATGATGCCAGTAGACTTCTTTGATACAGAGTACCCACAAACCTTACGTTTGTTTTTTTTAAAAGCAGTATCCACAAAGTGCAGTAAAGTGAATCACAACAAAATGAGGTCTGCTTGTACGTCTCAGTGAAGCTAAGATGTACAGTAGGAAAATACACAGTTGTAAGTGAAGGAAATTAGGAACATCACTGGTAGTCTAGTGGATAAGGGGTTATGCTGCAAACTCAACAGCAGGCAGTTCAAATCCACCGAAGGAGAAAGAAGGACAATCTCCACTCATATGATTTACAGCCTCTGAAGATCCACTGGAGTGTTAGGTATGAGTTGATTCCTACTTGAAGGCAATGAGTTTTATTAAAGAGTTTTACTGTATTTCATTTTTAAGCTCTGTGTGGATAGAAAGAACATTTGTCTTCATCATTCATTTTCATTAAGTTTTTATTCTGTTTTTTAGGCTAAAAATGCTCTGCCATCTATTCTGTTCTGAATCATGGTAACTTCCAGCATCCTCCTGAGTTTCTGAGCCTATAAATCTTGACAGGATGAGATTCCTCAACTTTCTCTTTCAGAGGAACTGGTGGATTTGAAATAGCAGAGCTGCAAGACCTTTTGGTAAATAGTAGAGTCCATTTCACACGACAATATGGGGCTTTTTAAATGCATGTGAAGTATCTGATGTATTTCCCATGTTTTGAATAATATTTATCTCTAGTTCTTAGAACATTGAGAGATCTTTAAATTTAACACTGTAAAATAAGACTGTGATAGAATTTCATTGTGTTGTGTGTTTTATGTGCTGTCAAGTCAGCTGTAACTCATAGTGACCCTTCGCACAATACCTCTGAACCCTGTCCTGTCCTGAGCTAATTTCATTGACTCCAATATGCCTCTCCCCATCACCCCAGTTACTGTGTCAGTTAATCTCATCCTGGGACTTCCTCCTGCACTGATCCCTCCACTCTTTCAAGTATGTGTTCTTCTCCATGGATTGGTCCTTCCTGGCAATATGCACAGAGCTTCAAAATCCTTGCTTGAAAAGCACAACTAGGTTTCATCCTCTCCAGGGCAGACCTGTTCTATTAACAGCCCATGGAATGTTTAATATTCATCTCCAGCACCACAACTCAAGAAGTCAGTTCTTCTGTCTTCCTTGTCATTCTCCAACTCTCTGATGCATAGCAAGTAATTGTGAAGACCGTGACCTGAATCAGGCACCTCGTGGTCTCTAGACTGAGATAGTTGTTCTTTATGACCTCTAGAGAGGTCCCAGAGAGCAGATCTTCCTGATGCAAGTCTTCTTTTGATTTCCTGACTGCTGGTGCCAAGAGTGATGATTGTGGAATGGAGCAAGCTGAAATTTTTAACAGTCTAAAGCTCTTCTCCATCTATATTATGGTGCTGCCAGTTATCCCAGTGGTGAGATTCGTGGACAAATTCAATCTAGTCTGGTAAACCAAGAAGACTTCCTGAAGGAAGGGGTGTTTGATTGCATATGTGGATATTAGTTAGGTGGGATGTGCAGAGGAGTGCTGCATGGAGATGGAAACATCGATGCAAAGGTCCTGGAAAAAAGCAGTATGAGACGTGAGGAGTGAGCCAGTGTGGCTGTAACCTCGAGAGTGATAGGGTTCAAACCATCAACCTTTGAGTTAGCAGCCCAACATATAAACCCATTGCACTATCAGGGCTTCTTAATTGTATAAATCATAACTGTGTTGGTGGTGGTGGTGGTGTACTGTTGAGATCCACCCATAGCAGTCCTTTCAGCAGATTTTCAGAGGCTGTAAATCACATGGCAGTTGATTGCCCATCTTACTCCCACCGAGCAACTGGCAGATTCGAACTGCATGCCTTTGCGTGGACAGTGTGATTCCCTACCACTGGAGAACAGCAGACCTGCATGTACTATCTTCCTGTCACCTAAGCATCTCTTGTTTTGGATCTAACATAAATGTATTTTCATTTGTCCTTAGGTCACATGAGTGTGTTGGCTCTCTGGATTCATCTCCCACTGGACATTAAGACAGTGCATGGTTTTAAAGTCATCTGAAAATGATTACGCAGCATCACCATGTGACATGATCAGGTCCTGGCAGGCAGCCTGAGGACTTGGAAAACCAGTCACATTGTGGCTTAGGGGAAGCCCTTTCCCCCAGAGGAAGACTGTATGGCGTGTAGCCCATGCTGAAGGGTGGACCATGAGCGTTCCAATGGCCCCTAAGAAATCATGTTACACACAGCTGCAGGACAGCAGGACTGGGGCCACCAATGACAACGAGACTCTCATCAGCCTGGGGGACCCCAACGCCAACCAGATCATGGTGGAGGTCAGTTCTCCCGTGAGCGAGTCAAAGACCTGTGGGATTCCAGATGAACCTGCAAACGCAAACTCACGGGAGCTGGAAAACACACATTTCAATAAGGAGTTCCAGAAAGTTCAGGGCCTTGTCAAGGACGTCCAGACTCTCACAAAAGACCGTAAGCTCTCTTCAGTGGTTCATGGGGAGCTGAGTGAACATAGCACACACAAAGGCCCTGCTGTGCTCCAGGCACCTCGCGGGCCCCAGGGACCCAGCCTCTCTGGTTGGAGGAATGGTTTGAGTGAGGCCAGTTCTGAGGTTTTGGCCAAACGGGAGCCTGACACTGCTCAGCACATCCCCCGGGATAAACTGACAAAGACCCATGGCGGTGAGGAACTGAGGAAACATTCCGTGGAGAAAGTTGATGGTGCTGTGGACGTGCTCACCATGGAGAGTGTGGGGAATGTGCCTCAGCCTGCCATGGTGGAGCCCACTAAGGTCCCCCGTCCTGTTTGTGGGAGTGGGGAGAAACCACAGAAAGCGTTCCCAAGCCACTTTCCAGGGGTTGCTTTTCACCCAGCTGACAATACCTCAGAGGAAAAGATCAGGCTGCATCCTAAACCATCTACCTCAGAAACCAAGGAGGCCCAAAGCAAGGGGGGAAGTGAGAGATCATTCCATCCTGCACAGATGGAGCCTACTCAGAGTTCAGCGTTTCCCCCTAAGGAAATCCCAAGTCAACCTGAAGCACAGTTAGGCAAGGGCGAGGAAGAGCCGGAGCCTGAGCCAAAATTTGTTCAACCCAGGACTGCACAGGTACTGAAGTCGACGCAGGCAGATGCTGTGTTACCCCTGGAGAGAAAAGAGCCATGTGGAAAAGCAGAGAAGTCATCTTCACACCAAGAAGCCAATGGTGCCGTTGGAAGTCTCACCAATGGCAGTCTTCAGCATCTTGGACCAGGAAGAGGAGGTCGTGAGGAGGAAAAGAGAGAGATTGTCATAGATGAAGGTTCTCTTCTGACCACCCACCAACAGGGCCCTGGTTCCTTGAGATCTGTTGCTGATCAGCCTATTGGCAGAATTTCACCAAGTGTAGGTAGCAGATCGAGTGAAACACCACCAAGCAACATTTCACCAAGTGATGGTCAGGCTGTGTCTGGCCTTGGCATTCCAGCCAGTGAGTTCTGTGGTGTCAGGGAGGAAAGAGGGAGCTCAGGCAGTGGTAACATGGACATTGCCTCTTCTTTGACTTCAGAGCCTTCTGCTGAAGAGAGCAATACTGGAGTGTCTGAACCCCTTGTCCCTCACAGCAGCAGCTCAGAAGCAGGAGAAGAAAAGATGATGACCGTTTCTGCTGCTGAGCCGAGGAACTTTCTAGAAAAGGCAGCAAGAACAGAAAGTGACCCAGCAAGAGCCAACTCTCTTCTCAGTGTGCCAGCACCCCTCACTGTCCCAATCGTGAATGTGACCCACGTTTCCAATGGCAGTGTCCAGGACCTTGGACCACTGGGTCTAGACTTCGGGTCCTCCTTGACTGTCCCACCTGCCCATGACAGCGGTCAGTTGGTAAATGCTTCTTCTAAATTGTCTGACAAGAGCACCTGTCCCAGTGGGATCCCCAAGCCCATCTTCACACATCCCAAGGACGCCTCTTCCTTTCAGGAGGGAATGGAGAACGGCCATGTCGAAAAAACAGACGAGAGGACAGATACCAAGCCCATCATCATGCCCAAACCCAAACACGTGAGGCCCAAAATCATCACCTACATCCGGAGGAACCCGCAGACTCTGGGCCAGGTGGACGCCTCGCTGGTGCCCATGGGGCTGCCTTACACCCCACCACCTTGTAGCATGCCTCTGCCCAAAGAGGAGATGGCAGCAAGTGGAGACATCAAGCCACCTCCAGCCCTCTATGAGAAACTCAAGCCAGACTTGCAGAAGCCAAGGGTCTTCACCTCTGGACTGATGGTGTCTGGTATCAAACCCCCAGGACATCATTTCAGCCAAATGAGTGAAAAGTTTCTGCAGGAGGTAAGAGAAGGATGTCCCTGTGAAGTGGTCTGTTATAGGCAGTGTGTCTTTGGTTTGTTGTACCTTCCTAATGAACGGGAAGGCAGTCATGACTCTCGAAGCAAATTTCAGGTTTTGATGGCTATACTTGGACAGACATGGTCATTTTTCATTATATCAGACCCACTTACATTTCTATCTCTGTTGGACCAGTTGCTGTTTACTTGAGTCGAGTCTGACTCACGCAGAGCACCTATACTGGAGTAGAACTCCATGGGGTTTCAGTGATAGATTTTTTAAGAGGTCACCAGGCCTTTCTTTCCAGGCACCTCTGGGTGGACTGGAACCTCCAGCCTTCTGATTATCAGCTGAGCTCATTAACCATTTGCACCAACTAAGGACTCCTGTTGCATATGAAATGACATATTGATGCATTCAGTTAACTTCCATGTTTAAATATTGTTATTATTGTTAGGTGCTGTAGGGTTGATTCTGACAAAGTAGAACTGCCCCATAGTGTGTTATGGGCTGTATCTTTATGGGAACACAGCACCAGGCCTTTCTCTTGTAAAGCCCTGGGTGGGTTTGCACCACCATCTTTTGGTTAGCAGCAGAATGATTAACCATTAAGCCACCAGGCTTCTGGTCAAAGGAAGAAAAAAAAGAAAAGAAAAAAAATAAGTATCACCTTCACTTAATGAGACTTCATTGTCTGTACAATGGGCTCAAGTGTATCAGGGATGTTGAGGCTGCACAGGGTGGGGCAAGGTTAAGAGCTATTGTTCATGGGATCTTTATGAATTATAGTTGACACATAATAACACCACATCCTCTGATGGTGAGTTTTCTTAGGGAAGAATCTCATATTCATACAAATGAATAGCATGGCAAACATGCAGAAATCATCTCTTTAGCCACCCTCTGACCAGTGTTTGTGCACCATTTCCCCCATAATTAGAAAGGTCCACTGTTTAAACCCACCAGTCACTTTGTGAAGCAAAGATAAGGCTATCTCCTCTGGTAAAGATTTACAGAAGCTCTGTGCCATCTTACAGTGTCGCTGTGAGGTGGAAAGAACCTGATGACAGTGGGTGGGTGGGTCAGCAGTCCTCAGCACAGACACACACAGAGAATGTAATCATAAAAGCTCTTCTTAGGAAGAAAATAGCCCCCAAGGGGCAGGAGCAGCAGGGACACTTAAAGCCTCAGAGTAGATTCCGAGTTAACCTTGAATCTACTCAGATTAAAGGCATCAACCTGTGTCTGTGGAGAGGACTCCAAGTCATGGCATCCCCCTGTATGTAAGAATGGAACTGCACTCCATAGGGCTTGTGTTGTGTTGTGTTAGGGTCAGTACCCTGTAGCTGACCCTCCAGCAGGTTTTCAGAGGCAGTTAATCGCACGAGAGGAGATTGCCCATCCTGCTCCTGCGGAGCAGCTGGTAGGCTCCAACTGCGTGCTTTCAGGCTTGCAGTGCAGCTTCTTGCCACTAGGCAGCCAGGGTTTTTAGCGGTTGAGTTTTCAGAAGTCAATCACCAGGCCTTTCTTCTGATGTGCCTCTGGGAGGACTTGCACCTTTGACTTTCTGTTTAGCTGCCAAACACATTAACTGTCACGTCGCCCACTGATTCCAAACCAGCTGCTAGCCCATGGAGAACTCTTTTGTGTCGGAGCACAACCATTCTCCGTAGAGTTTTCAATGTCTACTTCTCCAGAAGCAGATCACCTGTTTCTCTCTTCTGAAGAACCTGAGTGGACTTGAACCTCTGGCCATTTGGGTAGCAGACACATTCATTGATCTGTACCTCAGGGCCTCCACCCCAGTTGACATCCTGCCTGGTGACCCCAGGAGTGTCAGAGCAGAACAGTGCTTAGTGGAACTTTCAACAGCTGCAGTTCTCCAAGGGGGACAGACTTTCTCACTTGTTTAGACCACTTTCTGCCATTGCCTAGTGAAGTGCTAAGGAAAACTCCTTCTCGCTCACTTTTCTGGGATGTTGGTGAGCTGTTTTCGTTTTGAGGAGCTCCGGCGGCATGGTGTGTAGGAGTTTTACTGATGAACCCAAAGGCCAATCTTCTCTGGCAGTTCAAATCTACCATTATCTCCATGGGAGAATGACCAGTCTCCATCCGAGATTTACTGTAGCCTTGGAAATTCGATGGAGTGTCCATGGTTCCAACTTGATGGCAAAGAATTTGAGCTTTTTGAGATTTTTAATGTTTGATGGTAGAAGAAGGAACAGAGATGAGAAGACAAGACACAAAGTCCTATGTTTGTGATAGACAAACGTGTGAATCAGGGGCTGGTCTCCTTTTCCACTGCTGGGACCATGTCATCTCTTTGCTGAGCTCTGTTTTCCCAACTACTGTTCCCATTGGTCTCTTGAGAAAACTCCATGGTTACTCTCAGGGAAGAGGGACAGTCCAGCAGGAGTGCATTTGCAAATGTACCTGAATTGGTTTCAGGACTTTGTTTGAAATATCAAGGATTCTTTTTCAGCTTTAATGTTAATGTATTGATTAGGGGGTTGCATATTTTTGTTTTGTTTGATTTTACTAATTGTTGAGAATACACAGAGCAGCACATCCACAGTTCCAGCTGTTCCTTATGTGCGTGTCAGTGACATTGTTTTCATTCCTCAGTTGTGCTTCCTTATTTTTCTTTTTTAAAAGTAAGTCTGGTTTTTTCTGAATGTAGTTTCTTCCCCCACACTTTCTTTCATTGTCATTGTATTGCATATAATCATTCCCATACATTGTGTTTTAGAAAATTAATCACCATTGTACTGTGCCCACGATTACCCTGTCTTTTCAGGTCCCCACTGAATCTTTCCCATTTTCTTTACTCCCTTCCCTCCACCCACCAAATGGTACGACTGTGTGATTTCCTCTGTACCCACACTTAGCCCTCTACTTCACCTCTTTCTCCCTTGGGCCCCTGTATATCATTTACTAGTTATCCTTCTGTTTTTACAATAATGGTCCTGTGCAGTATTTGTTCTTATGAGATTGAGTTAATACACTCAAAATAATGTTATGTTCTCCACTCTCTCCCAAGTTATGTAATATTTTTTGAAATCATTGTTTTCTTAATGCTTCATAGTATTCCTTCATATGAATGTAGCACTGTTTCTCAATCCATTTGGTTGTGGTTGGACATTTGAACTATTTCCGTGTTTTTTGCAATGGTGAATGACATACGTTGCTGTGAACATTCATGTACAAATCTCCATTTGTGTCTCAGTTCTAATTTCTTTGGAATATATTCCTAGTAATAAAACAGTTGGGTCAGATGGACGCAGCTATGTCTAGCATTTTGAGGAAATACCAAACTGCCTTCTAGGTCCTCTCCAACTTTTACTGCTAGATGTCCTGCTAAGCATTACCACTGCTACTGGAGTAAGATGATCTATGATTGTGATTTTGATTTGCATCTCTATTATTGCCAGTGATTTTGAGCATTTCTTCATCTGTCTGTTGTTCTTTCTCTATGACAAGTCTTTCCATGTCTTTTGCCCATTGTTTAATTGGTCTATCAGTGTTTTTCTTGTGGAGGGCCTTTACTATTCTGTAAACTTTTGTTATGAGACCCTTGTCTGACATGGTACTGCCAATTTTTTTTTCCCTAGTCAGTAGAGTTTCTTTCCACCCTATTGAAAAAAAAAAAGGTTTTGATCCACACAGGATTTAATCTTTAGAAGGTCCCATTCATCAGTTTATCCTCTACTGGTTGTACATTTATGGCTGTTTTTGTCAGCCTCTTTATACAATAGACTAGGCCTTTTAAGCTTTGTCTCAATTTATCTCTTATGAACTTAGGGTTTTGGGCTTTTGTCCCAGGTCTCTGATCCACCTGGAGGTGATTTTTGTGTCTGGCATGAGATGTGGATCCTGATTAGCTTTCTGTATGTAGCAGTCCAGTTTTGCCAGTACCATATGACAAATCCAACATCCTTCATGATTAAAAACACTCAGCAAAATAGGAATAGAAGGGAAGTTCCTCAACATAATGAAAAGCATATATGCAAAACCAAGTGCCATTGTCATTCTCAATGAAGAAAGACTAAAAGCATTTTCCTTGCAAACAGGGCCAGATAAGGATGCGCACCATCACCACTCATATTCAGTATTGTATTGGAAATACTTGCTAGGACAATACAACAAGATAAAGAAATAAAAGGCATCTAGATTGTCAAAGTAATAATTAAACTGTCACTATATGCAGATGACATGATGGGGTACACAGAAAACCCCAAAGATGCAACAAAAGAAACTGGTAGAGCTAGTGGACCAGTATAGTAGAGTGGCAGTATACAAGGTCAATATAGGAAAGTCAGTGGGATTTCTCTACAATAACAAAGAAAACACAGAGAAGGAATCCCAAGAAAGCAATACCATTTACAATAACCAACCACAAATTGAGACTGAACCTGACTAGAGACACAAAAGACCAGTACAAAGAAAACTACAAAACACTTCTGTGAGAAACTTTAAAAGATCTAAATAAATGCAAAAATATTCCCTGCTCATGGATACGAAGACTCAGTATAGTGAAAATGACAGCCCTACCAAAAGCAATCTACATGTTCAATGCAATCTCAACATAGATACCAAATTCATTCTTCAAGTAAGTGGAAAAGGCAATTGTCAAATATATTTGGAGAGGAAAGAGACACCCGCCCCCCCCCAAAGAAAAATAACTTCTGCAAAACAAAAATGAAGTAGGAGGAGTAGTACTCCCTGACTTCAAATCCTACTACACAGCAGTAGTAACCAAACCAGCATGGCACTGATACAATGACAGGCACATAGACCAATGGAACTGAATTGAGAACCCAGATATGGACTCATCTATCTGTGGTCCGCTGAAACTCTTCAAGGAAACAAACCCCATAAAATGGGGAAACAACTCTTTACCTCCTTTTTACAATTATTTTTCCAATATTGGTGTGATCTCACTGCCCGTTTTAACTTCCTAGCTCATCTTTCAAGTTACTTCTATCAATTTTGTTGCTGTTAGG